GCGGCCGCCGGGGCCGGGAACGCGGCCGGCGTGGCCGGCGTGAACGTCGACTCGAAGCTGTTGGTCGGCCACGTGCACGCCAACACGCCGAGCTCGCCTTCCGCGCAGCAGCAGCAGCAGCAAAAGCCCAGGAACAAGTCGAGAACGTCCGCCGGTAAGCGGCACGCCTACCAACCTTTTCCCCCCACTTTTTCTTTTTCTCTTCTGTTTCTTTCGGGTTTCCCACCCTCCCCCTCCCCTCGTCGTTCTTCGCCTCGCGGGTGAAGGGAGAAGAGGCTGAGGAGAGACGAGGGGTCGTTGCGCGCGTACGGTCGTTTCCGCTTTCTTTCCTATTTCTCGATCGCGTTTAACTTGTTTAAACCGTGGGTTTAAAGAATAAAATATCGTGATATTATTACGATTATTACGAGTATTGGGAAGTAAATTTTTTTGTAAATTTTGCTGTTTCCCCGCTCGTCGTACATGTTGTACGTGTATTCATTGTCCACGAGTGGAATGATTCTTTCGTGATCGGACGCGAAGTTGCGCGAAACGACCGTACCCGAGTTTCCGGGTATTTTTTTCTTTCTTTCTCTTTCGTTTTCTTTTCTTTTTTTTTTTTTTTTTTTTTCCCCCTTCTTTTGGTTTGACATTAACGCTTTTGGTTTCCCTTGGTTTGTTTCGCTTTGTTGGGTATGCACGAACCCCGATGCGCACGACGTTAATTATTTCCAAGCGTACACGGGTTTCGTGCGTCTTTTCGCTTTGAGTTCCAGTATATCCTCGGTTTGCTTTCACTTTTGTCACTTTTTTTTTCCCCCCTTCTTCTTATTTCTTCTTTATCGACTTTATCGAGGTTCGTCCAATCGATATTCCTCGAGTCTAGAGACCACGTTCCTAGAGACGAGTGGTTTTTGGTAAATACTCGGGGAATATTGTTTTTTTTTTTTCTATTCTCAGCGGGACGAAACCTCGAGCTCCTCTTTCGTTTCGTTTCGTTTCGTTTCGTTTAAAAATCCCCCTCCGAAGAGCTTTTTGGTGGCGGTCGTTTTTCGCTTACGATTCGTTGATACGAACGATGAACACGTTTAATATATATATTTTATTTTTTTTTATCGACCGAGCTGAGTGTTGTCGGCGAGAGGGAGACACACACACACAGAGAGACACACACACACACACACACACTCGGGACGTGTTATTTTTGTATTTTTGCCTCACCCGTGTTGTTTTTTTGAGTGGCACCCGCGGAACGTCGAGCGTGAACAGCACCACACCTGGTTTGATTTTTGTTGATCAAGGCACAGGGTGGGGGACACGAACGAAAAAGGAAATTCGCCATGGACCACATTGCTTCTGATTCTTATCTTCTATCTTTTTTCTGTCTTGCGAAAAGCTTGTCGCAAATTTTTCACGCGTTTAGGGTGCGAAGAAAAAGAAAAAAAAAAAAAAAAACTCCATTTCTCGAAAAAGTTTTCCCTCTCTTAACAACTTGTATCCGAAGATCAATGTTTTCGAACATTGAATTTGAACAATGCGTGTAATGCATTTTTAGTAAAAAAAAAAAAAAAGAAAAATATACGCGAGAGATAATTTCACTTCTCTGTATTCGCACCCCAATTTACGAGAACTTGTTGTTCGTCAAATTTTCTTTCGAAAATTTCTTTATTCGAAATTTCCCTCATTAATCGTTTTACGAAAATTCTTTCGATTCTTCTTTCTCCTTTTTCTTTTTTCTAATTAAAAAAAAAAAAAAAAAAAATTTCGCACCGTTTCCCAAAGACAAGATTTTCGCGCATCGTATTTTACTCGAAAATACGACAGGACAGTATCGAGCGTCCAGTAACAGGCGACTCGACACGGCGCATTCCTTTCTCTACCAGTACCTTTCTCTCTTTACGGATCGATATTTTTTATATATAAATACACAAGTGTAAGACACGCGTGTAATACACACAAGCGCGGGCGAATCAGCACACACGTACCTTCTTCTTCTTCTTCTTCTTCTTCTTCTTCTTCTTCTCTTTTTCTTTCTCTCTCTCTCTTCTATCTATCTATCTATCTGTCTATCTCTATTTCGATGTGGTGTGGCTACATGCTACCGTTTTTTTGGTTTTGTCACTGGCAAAATAAAATCTCCCTCTCGAAAGGAAAAAAAAAAAAGAAAAAGAGTCCACGGACCAAGTCCGCGTGTTCTTTTTGCCGTGCTTCCTCGCACGATTTTTTTTTTTTTTTCACACTTTTTTTCCATCACGAAACTCCAACGAAATCTCGCTCAAGTATCAAGGGATCGAGAATAAACACGAAATCGATGAACTTTCAAGTAAAATCAAGTAAAGTTTTTATTAGAAAACGTGTATAAATTTCGTAAATCTTAAATACTTTCGCTGCCACCTACGTATACATCTTACGTCTTTTATTTAAAAAAAATCAAAAGTAAATTAATCGCTTTTGTGCTTTCTTTACATTCCTGTGTAGGAACGTACTTGGACGAAAAAGAACAAAAAAAAAAAAAGAGAGAGGCCACTCGAGGTACCTCCCTCCCCCCCCCCTTAAAAATTGAAAAACTTGGACAGACAAAGATTTTAAAAAGAATTTAGGAGGAGACGCGAATCTGGGTCGCGTTCGAAGGGGAGGGAATGGGAATGAAACGGTTGAAAAATGCCGGATACGTTGATTGCTGTAATAACAGCCGGTCTGCGGCGGGGACGGCGTGGTAAAAATCCTAATTCCGGGAACAATGGGCCCGGCTTCGCGGCGTGGAAGTCCGCTAATTAAATCGACTTACGACACACGCAGCAGCGAAAAGGAAAGAAGAAAGAAGGAAGAAAAAGAGGAAGAGAGGAGAAAAACCTCGATGTGGCAAGACGAATCGGGATCGGTGTTTAAGGGAACGTAAAAAAAGCTTTTCCTCCCTCCTCCCCTCCGCGCACGAGTCGAAAGTAAAAATTTTGTATTCTCGTATTTATAATTCGCGAGAATTATCGTCGTGTATCGCACCGTGTATAATTTTTCATCTTCGTAAAAGAAACGAAGATGTTGTTTCGTTTCGTTTAATAGGTATGTTCAGAGCGGGGAGATTTCTCTTGTTCGTGAACGATGGTTTTGTTAATTAATCGAATTAACGAACACACAGCGAGGTTGATCCTTTCTTCTTTCCTCTCTCTTCATTCTCTCTCGTTTTGCAGGAGGAGTGAAAATTGCAATTAACGAGGCGGACGAGATTTTGTTTCTCAAGTTTTGATTTTCTCCTCGACACGTTTCATGCTTTTCATGATTCGACGGTTCTTGGTCTTGGTCTTTTCTGTGTACACGATTTTTTGATGAACCCCTGATTCATCCCGAGACGGGATTAATTATGCTCGTTACGCGTGTTAATTCATAAAAATTTGCAAATTTAATTAAATTTCTAATTTTATTCTTTCGACGACGTTTCATTGGTCTTCTTCGGGGAGAAAGAAATAAGCAGTAAGCTCGTGATAAAGATCACGGCAATTCAATTATAATATTCATATTCCTTAAAAAAATAATATGTATATATATAAAATTTCTATTCTACAATCTTACAATTTTTCAATGTTTATCAAGGTTTCTAATTTTAATAATTCCTTCGATAATAAAATTCTAAAATTTGCAATGTAAATCAGCGGGTAAATTTGAAGAGAAGTATGTCGGAGGATAAGATTTTTCTTCGTTTTCGAGTCGAGATCGAGAGAATTATCGAGCGATCGAGACCGCTTCCACTCTCTTGATTCTCGAAATTGATTCAAGGAAAGGGAGAATTTTCAAAAGGGAGTTGAGATTGTTATTAAAAACTTTAGAGAACGCCTCGTTAGAATATTATATCGTTGAAGAATGATAATAAAAAGAGAGAGAGAGAAAGAGAGAGAGAGAAGAAATTGGCCGGGCGAAATTCATGACGGAACGCCGGTTTCCTCGTCCTGGATCATAATTCATCCGTTTATGGCAAAAGTGGCGCGAGGCAGCCGGCTCGCTTTGGTCTCGTTCCCTCTCGGCAAAAGTCGAGGCTTTTCGTCGAAATAAAAACCTCCTTCCCCTCTAAAAAAAATTACTTTTCTTCTGTACCGAGATGTACACACGTTATAACAATCAACGATCGCAATTAAAAGAATCTCGAGTGGTCGCCTCTGAGTGAACGTGTGGGCTTCCGACAAGATATAATAAATCCTGTTAAACCTGAGAATTGCTGTTGTAAATTAGGTCAGGTGGATTGTTATAATTCTCTTTTCTTTCTTTCTTCCTCTTCTTCTTCTTCTTTCTTTTTTTTTTTTTTTTTTTATAATATCTTTTAAATATTTAACGTTTCGACGAATATCGTGTGTTCGAATCCTTTGGCCACGTCGGTCGCGAGAGGTTCGATGCGGAAAAGAAAAGGAAAAAAAAAAAAAAAAAGGAAAAACGTCAAAACGACCAAGTCATGGGATTTTTTCCAGTAAAATGGAGAACCAATCTCGGTCCAATCTCGAGGAGGATGCAGCTCGATGGATCAATTCGAGAGACGCGGATTTCACGGTTCGAGGAAAATTCTTGTTCCATCATTGGATTGAATGATTCCTCTCCCCTCCCCATTAAATCGATATCCCCAAAAATTTCAGGCACAGCTTTCTCTCGGACACGGATAAGTGAAATAAGTGAAAAGAATAGAACGAGAAATTTGCCTGAAAGTTTAGAAACTCATTCATTCCTACCTTGTTCCTTCCTTCCATGTTGTGTTTGGTGGGGGGTTGAGACTAACGATACTAACCAGGTTCTATTCTTCCTTCATTCCTCCACTTCAATCTTAAACTCTGTCCCCCTGTATTAACAAGCCGCTATCGGACCAACGTGTTCGATCCACGGTCCTAAAGACTCTGCTTTTGCTCTGGTAATCGCTTGATATGGTATGTCTGCAACTGCATGCCACTTTCATCACCGATCTTCGTGACTTGGTGTTCGCTTCGAGCACGTTGGATTCTCGAAAATTCGCTCGATTTCGAATCATTTTCTCGCTTTGGAAAAAATTTTCCAAAAATTTTATTCTATCATCTCGAGAAACCAGCGTGCACCAAGCTTTTTAAGCTTTCGATTGAACGATCGAACAATACACGTAAATCGAATTCTTCCGATCGCGATTAAAAATTCTAATTTTCTCGATTACTAATATAGATAATAGATGGAGCAAAAATAAAAAAAGAGAATGATAAACAGTTGATAGATCGTAATGCAAGAAGAATTCGTTTTACCGGTCGTTCGGTCGGTATCATTGTAATGCTTGTATCGAACCATAACCTAAAAATTGCGAGATTAATTCGAATTCGTCGTTTCCACGCTATTCTTCCGATAGAGGGCCGCGAATGCGTGAATTGCGGCGCGACATCGACGCCACTGTGGAGACGGGACGGTACCGGTCACTACCTTTGCAACGCTTGCGGCCTCTACTACAAGATGAACGGGCAGAACCGACCTCTCATCAAGCCGAAACGACGGCTGGTAAGTACCTAAGCTGAACCACTTTTCTTTTCTTTTTTTTTTTTTTTATTCACTTGCACGATACATTTGGCGTGGATAGTTTCGGTCGGGAAGGATCGAAGACGCATACAATGTTCGTGATTTGAATTGTAAATTGACGCGGAGAGGAAACTTTTACGTAACTTTGTCGAGCCGTCCACGAAAAATATCAGAATCTTGTTAGAGATAAAGAGTGTATATTTCGTGTACACGTAACGGAGATCTCTGTTTATATCCGCCTTTCGGAAGTATTAGATTGATGTATAAAGGTTGTCACTCTTACGTAACACGTGTAATATATTCATTTAGTTTTTGCCTTGTCTACATGTTGCCCGTTTAATTCTATCAACTTCCTCGTATATATTTTTCGAATATATCCTTTTGGATTAAAAAGGATAAAAGGACAACTTTATTAAAATATCGTGTCATTTCAAGATTTAAGAAAAATTGGACAATAATTATACATTTCGACGTCAAAATTGAAAATACGTCAGAAAGTGAGGTTAATTTTACTTTTAAATCATTTAAAAAGACAAGATCAAAAGTATATAATGATACAATCTCGTTGAAATTCTCTAATTGCTTGTCGAATAATAAATTGTATATAAAACGTAGCATTACATGCTATTAAAATAGCACTTGATTATTGATATAAAAAAAAAAAACAAAAAACAAAAAAATCATTATGGAAATATATTTCCAGATTAGTCTTAGAATTCTAAGTCTCTTTGCTTAAGCCCACTATATATTATATTTGCAGCTAATGCAAAAAAAAAAAATCGAAAATTTTACACGACGCAGAGCCCTCTATCATTGCCCCTTTCCCGTCGAACGGGAATCGACGATTCGTTGAAAAGCTCTCGTGCACCTGTCTGGCTCGTAAAAGCGGTGTCCTTGATCGTTTCCTTGGCGCTCATCGAGCCGCACATGCTTAATTAATACGTGCTCGCGGTGCAACGGAGTTATGTGTTTCTCGCGATACGCAGATGCAGTCATCAGAATGCAAGATAAAACAAGGCCAAGCTAATTTCCTGTACGTGACCATTAACGCGCGACGGTGTGTTCCTGTTTGCGTATTCATCATCGATTAGAATATGTGTGTACGTGTGTAAATACATGGCCCAAATTTTCCAAAAAAATGTATGGTGAAATTCAAGGGAAAGTAAAGTACGAGAATAGAAAGATAAATTTCAATTTCTGAAGGTAACGAAGGCAACTAGAACGCCACCATACGAAACAATTAGGAAATAGAAGATCACGCGATGCGAAGTGTAATGGTCGATCAAGATTCAACTAAGTGAATGGAAAATATGTTATGTGATTAAAAGGATAAAAAGCAAACAAAAAATCATGATTATATTAACGTTATGTAATCCGCATTTATTGAATTAAAAGCGAAATAATAAGGAATCAATGAGAAGATGAATTCTTGACGATGGATGAAAGAAGAAGATTTTTTGAGAGGTTAGAAATTATTTTATTTTCGTTTTCTTTGATTCTTTATATATATATATATATATATATATATATATACTAC